TGGAAATTCAGGGCTGGAAATAGTACTCCTGGAAGGAGTTTACACCGAGCGCTGCTGTGCTGATGTGGCGCAAGATGACTGACTGCATTTCAGAAACTTTATAGGGAGTGAGTCCCGCCAAGTTTTGCTATTTGAAATTCCAGCTTGATGAGTCACTATTTGGCATCAGCTGTAGCACTTCATGAAATAAAGCAATGAAAAGTCTCATTGCCTTTACCTGACAAATATCCTCCACTGCATCAGACATCATGAGATTGAGTTTTTAAGCTTTTAATCAAGAGAAAAACCCGTGTTGTCCAGAACAGACGCAGAAGTTGACCTTATTAAAATCAAACTTATCTGTAAAAAATCCAAGCAAAAATAGAAAAACAGGTCCTCCAATGACTTCCATGGTGGTGTTTAGACACTTAGAACAGCACCAAATTTAGACCAACAAAAGCATTCATGATTTAGTGGTATCGAGTGGGGTTGATGATGTTTGTGACTCACAGATGCAGATGGTAGCGAGGAGTCTGGTGGCAATGAATGGAGGCAGGCAGTTAGGGAAAGCCGGCTGCAGGACGTAGTTTGCGAAAGTGAGCGCGATGACAGCCAGCGTGGTTGGATACATGATGAGGACGGCGCTCCATAATAACAGGAAACTAAAGGAAGAAGAGACAAACACAGGGGTTCTGTTTTATGAGAGGGCATTCGTCTGTGAAGTCTAAAACGTTATTCTGAATCTAACTCTTCCCATAATCACTGTCTTTTCACAGCGTATAGAAAAATCGAGGTATCAAGTAGTCAAAGTCTGGAGTGAAATGTCCCCCTTTGCTCACAAGCTGCAGCTAAAGTATACCTGCTTTTTCTGTATAGGCTTAGGCTGCACAGTTCATTGTTGACTGAAATAGGAAGCTCACATTGCAGGACACGCAGTGTCAATCATGTGACTTGAGGCACATCACGCTGCTCTTTGTTTTGGCGTTTATTATGAAATAAAACTTGCAAGTTCTTGTTTTTCTTGGAAAATATAAGTCTGGCATCACATAAGAGCAAAAACAAAATAGGATTTTAAAAAAAGTGTTAGCGAAACACTCAAGACAGCGTGACATGTCCCTGCATGATTTTCATTCATCAAATAATGAACATCGTCATGCTCTCTGTAACACTGCGATATCATCTGTTGGCTGTTAAAGGAGGTGCTGTTTGTTTAGATTTGGGTGAGATGAAATGAAATGCTGAATGAAAGGTTGAGCTTTCAAGTGTGACCATCACAGCGCTGAGTGCCAGCTCTACATGAATTTGGCACAGTTAAAGACATAAAATAACATGACTTCAATGTTTATTTAATGTCAACTACTTTCTCTCTCTCTCTCTCTCTCTCTCTCTCTCTCTCTCTCTCTCTCTCTCTCTTTTATTGCAATATACTACTACAGAGTAACAGGGACACTTTAAAGAGCAGAAAATCACATGGATTTATAAGTTTTTTACTGCTTCATTTAAGTTACTTCAAAGAGTCATATTATAACAAAAATAAAATGGTAGTGCAGTCATAATATTAGAAGAATCAAGTCCTCATGTTCTGAGAGTAAAGTGGTGATAAGTGGCACATTTGGTTTACAGTGAAGAACGAAGAGTGTCTAGTTCAGTTGTCTCTAGAGTTTTTTTCTCCACATTGTTTAAAGTATCAGGACTCCGCAAAGACAGAGTCAGAAGCTGAGACATGTGGTATCCTCCTTCAAAACAGCATTATGCGAATTCATGTCTAAATGAACAACTTGGAAAAACAATTTTTTACAACTTTATTAGAACTTAGGAAAAAGTTAAAAATCTCAAAAAAATTATCTTAATTTTTTGATTCTTTAATTTTTTTCTCTCAGGGGGTATAATGCATTTTTTCAGACTGTGCTTCCTCTCTGATACCTGTTTAATAACTGTACATAATTTTCAAATTAAAAAAGCATACTTTTTCTCACTCTGGTGTATCAAACACCATTATTTCAGCCTCCATCTGAAACACTTTATTTTAGCTGCTATCTCTGCTGAAATCAACATGGATTTCAACACTAGATTAAGGTTTTTAGGTAACATGACATGGTCTAAACTCTGGCCAGAGTTGGCGGAGTCAAATATTCTGTGTTTTGGTTTGATTTGATGCACAGTGCTGATGTGCTCAGCCATAGATGTTGAATTCCTCCCCTTACAAAAAATATTTAGCAACATATATAGCATTTCACTTCATCCCCATCTTCAGCTTTGGTAAATTGTTGCCTCACTTTGGAACTCTTTGCACCCTCAGCCATCGTTCCTCACAAATGACCACCAGAACTCTTTCATGTGTAGTTTAATACCTGTTAGCTGCCAATTTATTATTTTTATGTGTGTGCACCATTGATTTCATGAACATGATGTGACTTAACTTTAAGTATAACGTTACTTCACAGGATCCATGAGACTCAAAAACCAAGCTTACAAGCTCCAGCATAATTGATTTTTAGGTTTTAAAAAATGCAGAACTGGGATTTTGGAGCCAGCTCTTGATTCCAATCCCTAGCATGTATTACTGTTGTAAAGAGTATTACAGACAGGAGTTTGAACTTCACAATTCAAACTATTGTCAGCCCCACAATAGTTTCTCAAGTGGTGGGAAAAATGTTTTCAAGGATTTAGATTTCTTTATTACCAACTTTTACAGTCAATACACTGTGACTCCTACTTACTGTTAAATGGCTGTGACCTCTTTTCAGAGCTAAATCTGCAGATTAGTTTTGGATTGAAAGTTGTATTTGTGTTATTTTGCACTGTTTTTGATCCCTTAATGAATGAACAAAACCAGACCTCACAGGTTTTAACTCAAGCCCCACAGGCATGCTCTGTGTCGGGCACGTTTGACCTTCTTTGGCTTACAGTGCTGCCCCTTAATCAGCTGATGTGTCACATGACCATACAGAGTCATAAGACCTTTGGAGCAGACTGGTCCTCGACAGACAGACCTACAAAACCACCTCTCTCTGTGTACAGACCCTGAACTATTTCAGTCTAATCCTGAAAGCAAGGGTGCAGCCGCTGGAAATCAAGTCAAATGTCTGGAAATCAAACTGCTCGACGGACACCTACTTACCCCACTAGCCCTCCAAAGATTTCGGTCACATATGAATAATCTCCTCCAGACTTAGGGATGGTCACACCCAGTTCAGCATAGCACATGGACCCGAGGGCGCAGATCCCTCCTCCACAAACCCAGACGATAAGTGACAGCCCCACAGAGCCAGCATGCTCCAGGACTCCTTTAGGTGAGATAAAGATCCCTGAGCCGATGATGTTCCCTGAAGAGAAGAGCAAAGATTGAAGTGGTTAAAGTGTTATTTACAACCAAAGTGGTTTTCTGAGAGCACAAACTTCAGCAGGTCATTCTGCTACTTTAAAATCATAATGATTTCCTAATTTCCTGAACACTGAAATATTCCCCACAGGTTTTTTGAGGCACACTCAGAGAGTAAAAACAAAAACAGAAAGAAAACAAAACAATCAAGAATTCCCAAGAGGCTTATTACAGCACTTCAACTGTTAGGATGAAATCTTTAGGGATCAATTTCAACTTACTTCTCTATCATTAAAGGTACGTATAATCCACAGAGATCACCTGATCATTGAAAGATTTTCTTTTGTTTTTAACATGCAACTTTTCAGAAACTTGTTTTGGATTGTAAGCTTTTAAGATTTTTAGAGAATTGTAAGTACTTGGTTGACTCTCTGATAGAGCCCAATATGTAAAGTAAAATACGAAGAAGTTTGCTGATGAAATTCATGTCTTGTCCTGGTAGAAATGACATCTAAAATAGCGATCCAATAAATAAGGCAGAGTAAGAACGATAAATCCCTCTCTCTCTGTGGCTTTAGGAGGTGGCTAACTGCTGTCACTGAATCAGTCTGACAACAAATATTACAATTTTTCTCCATTGGTCTTAAAACTAAAATTGTATTCTCAAAACTCTACTAGGATCATTCAGCAAAACAGTCTCACTGTTCAGCACAACACCATGGCTCACCTGCAAAAGCTCATATCTCATACTCATATCAGAATGCTTTGATGTTTTGTCACTGTGGCAGATAACCATTGAAATATCCCTCATGTCCACTTCTCAGTCTTAGTCCAGTCCTTCATTGACAATGGTTCCTATGCTAGTTTTAGTCTAGCTAACAGAATACAGTTGTGTATAAAACTAAATAAATAAAGATTTTATGGTGAGAGTAGCCTCCAAGGTTTGACATTATACACTGCACTCATACTGCCAAGGAAACTGTGACTTTTTCTTCACACACCTACAGTCAGTAACTTTCATACGTCAGAGTAAAAAGAAAATGTATACAGCCTAACATTCTGTAATATAAACACATTAACAAAAAGAAAAAATAAGGACAATCATATGTAGCCTACAGTGCTGTAAATAAAGCTGGAGCTTTACAACAAGCATGTCTGCACTGGTCGCTGGCCACCATCCTCAACCCCCCTCTCGTCACCCTCCTGGCTGCCCTCCTCGCACTCTTGGCTGTCCACACACTGCTTTCTGTCTGGATACAGATTTTCATCCACATCACAGTGTATATTCTCCCTTTCAATTTAACGAGAAGGGGAAGGGTGTGAATGTCACAACCATCCCCTACACCTGGAATGTCTTCACATGCAGCGTCCATTGCACCAAGCAGGGACCTCTTATTTTTAACCTGATGCTCATACACTCTCCACCTCCAAGCAGAGAAAGACTCCTCAACAGGATTGATAAAACGAGAGTGGTGAACCAGGGCTGTGGCTGCCCCTTTGGCGAGAACAACCATTAGACTGAGAAGTCAACAATCAGTTTAGATCGTCCCATCTATCCACCCTGGTTGATATCTCTATACCGGTCAATATACCTGTTTTGGTTTTAAATGATCGGTCTACTCTCCATGTCTCCAAAATACTAAAGCGTGTTATCTACGCTGGACTCACAGCTGCAAAGGAAATGGTGGCAACCCGCTGGAAATCCCCTCACGACCTCTCTACCCGCACCTGGACTCTTTCTTTTCTGGATGTCGTATACATGGAACTCTCTACAGCTCGTACAAATGGAGCCTCGAAAAGGAAAACTTTGGACTCTTGGCTTGGGATTGCTGAATCCTTGAAACGAATGTTGATTTCGCTCTAACTCTCCTCTACCCTGACCCAAAGATGTCTATCATTGCTCACACTTGCACCTCACCGGATGCGTCACCTGGTTGTTTGTCCGTGCGTTTGTTTGTCTTGTGTGATGTATGTCTACCCCCTCCCTATTCCGCCCATGTATGTTTTTCTTTATATGTTCTATGCACATAGGCGTGTTCCATGCCTTGGGCATTTTGTAACTATGTAATTATATGTGAATTTCTCAAATAAAAATATTTGGTAACAAAAAACGATCAGTTTAGTTCAACAAGGTCTATTCAAAATTGAATGAAGGCTATCTGTACTTAATCATTTGCAAAGATGTACTGAGACATTGAGACACGTGCTAAGACATTTGCAATTTGATGAAATGAAGGAGAAATTCAATTCTGTTGTGAAAAAATGCCAAGTAGTATGGAGGGAGGTTTGTCTGTGCTGTTTTAAGAATGTGATTTTGGTATCATAAAATGAGCCAAACCAAAGGAGAAACACTGTAAAGTTCTATTTTTTGTTTAGGCCCTGTGTGTGGTATGAGTCACAGAGAACACAGTAAACAATCAGCTGACAATAAATCAACATGACAAGGCAATCAAAGGTGCTAGAGTAATATGTTTACTTTAATTAATGTTGGGATCTGCCTGCAAATTATCCTATTTTTGTGCATCGAAGTATTTTGTGACTGTGCTTTGTTAATGCTAACTTTTTATGTTGATTTTGGGAGAAAAGTGACAAAATAAGGAACTATTGTACAGTTACACTGATCCTTCTTGTCAAAGTCATGCAAAACTTGTTGCATCTTTTCTATTATTTGGTACAAATTGCTTGCAATGTGTAATGCGCTGAGACATTAAGGTGGGGTGAAGTCAATCTACCTCTGACTAAGGCTGCACGAATTTGGCCAAAAATAAAATCCCGATTTTATCTCTGAAAATGATTTTCGATTTAGAATTTTTATTCAGTGACAAATTCATCAAACTTCACTTTAATAAGTTTTTGTATCATCTCTCAAAACTAAACCACTGACAACAATGTAGTGCATAGGCCAAGCCAGTAAGTGGCACTGTAGCAGTGTCGAGGATATGCACAAAAGACAGAAGAAGAGTACGGAGCATGCGTATAAAGGTTGTTTTGGCTGGACATGCGTGGGCGCCATAAAATAGTTCCACTGTGTGTCGCATAATCATTTCAAGAGAGATCCAAATAGACATCCACACGAGATGAAATGGTAGTCATTGACGGATCTATGGACTCTTCAACCCATTTTCGAAAAAGTACCAGTTACAGTCACATGAAATGCCGTTTCTGTGTGGATGAAACACCAATGTGACAATAAAACTTTTGCGTTCACTCCTGAATTTGTTTTTTGAATTGGTTTTTACTTCTTTTACCTTCTTTTTTCATACGGTAAAGAGCTTTTACTTATCTGTTCATTTATTATTATTTTCTTATTTTAGTCCATCAGGTTTTAGTCTTTCTTTTCACCATTTTTATCTCTATTTTTATCTCCAGTGTTTTCCAGAGGTAGCTCTTTCCTCACATAATGTCTCGGTGTCAGGCCATGTCTCTCTAACAATATATCTTAAATTCTCACACTGTGCGGTTGTGTGTGTGTGTGTGTGTGTGTGGGTGAGTGAGTGAGGGTGGGTGTGTGCCTTTGTGTGCATGTGGGTCCATGGGTGTGTGTGTGTGTGTGTGTGGGAGGGTTGCGTTTTATTGTCGTTATTTTTGTTTTTAGCCTCTGTGAAGCACTTTGAATTGCATTTTTTTGTATGAAAAGTGCCATATAAATAAAGTTGAATTTGAATTTGCAGCGAGTAGTGGTTTGCTCTGCATCTGAAACTGCAAGGCCGTACCCATTCCACACTACTGACTTGCTCTTGCCCCATTTACAAACCTGCTAACGTGCATGCATTTTGTGTACTTGTTTCGCATTTTGACCTCCAAGTATGCTTGTACAATTCCATGTTCAAAACATGTGGCTTGTCAAGCTGTAATTGGTGGCTTGCATGGTAGCTTCCCATGAAGTAACACAGCCAATACATTTTTTCATATGTACTACTTAAACATACAACACTGCAAAAACACAAACATCTTATACTTTTCCCTTCACCCAAATAATGAAGGTGAAGGGAAATATTTTAAAATTTAATGGTGCATCCTAAAGGGGGAATTGACAAACCTGGTATGGAGCCAGATCAGGCTCAAAAGTATTGAAAAGTAGTGTAAGTGAAAAAATAAAAAGTGAAGTGAAAAAATAAGATTTGAACCTGAAAAAAATAAAATGGTACCTGAAAGTCTTGAATTTTGAAATTGAACTTTGAAAAATCCCAGAATGCATGAAAAAAATCTGCTCAAATGTAACTTTGATTCTGTTTTTTAATACTTTTAATACCTGAATAAATTATTTAATTCTATTTTTCACTTCAATGTATATTTCGATCTTGGAGTACTTTTTTTTTTTCGATTGAATTTTATTTATTTATTTCAGATTCAGATCTTATTTTTATGGATTGAAAACTTTTTTTTCGGTTTCAGATTTTTTTTTTTCAGATACAGATCTTTTTTCGGATTCAACTTGAAAAGTTTCAGGTTCACTTTTGACCCTGTTTTTCCGTGGGGGCGGGCCTCGACTGAGAGGGGCGCGGTCTGCCATGAGTGACAGGCCTCCCCCTCCTTCCCCACCCCATCACCCTGCGTTCAGGAAGTGGCATGAATACACATTAGCTTAGCCTACAATTAGGCTGTTTTGGCTGAATGAGATCGTGTTGGTTCGTTCCACTTTAGTGGTGCAATATAAACTGTGATTCATTAAAAAGCTCTATTGATAGTAAGTACTAAAAAAAATATATCTACTCATGTCATCCAGTCGATTTTTAGTAATCAGTGTTTCGGTGTCGAACTGTTTCCCTTCTGCGGCGTAGTGATACTTGCACACGCGCAATCGAATATGCAAGGGGTGGAGCGATTTTTGTCACGTGGACCAATAGGAGCCGAGTCTCGTTGCCATAGTATCAGAAATACACAAACATGGCGACGACCGCATCTCGCAGCGAGACAAGCAAAGAGGAAGAAAAGAAAAGGAACAAAAGAAAACAGCCTTCAAAAGTGCATAAAAATGGAACGAAACGATGCTATATGCATCTGTCATCTGTCCAGAGTGAAGACGTTCTCGACTTTATGAGGACATGTTGGGAAACTTACAGAACTAGTATTAGAAAGTGGCTTTCTCTACAGGGTGAGACAAAGGACCTTGCAGAAACTTTGCGTTGATATCGACTTTGACAATGTTCCTGATGACGCTGGGTTTCACATGACATGCTACCAGCGATTTATTTGCAAAAGGGTTTGAGAAACAAGAACGTTCAACTATGCTGTTATGTTCATGTTACGTTACCCGTGCTCCTCACTATATCAGTTTATAACCTTCAACGTTGTCCTTCACATTAATTAGGGAGGGTCCAACAGGATTTGATGCGCTCGCTGATGACTCAAAACAAGTTGAAAATAATGTTGTGTGTTGTTGTGCTCACAAAGTGCGTGTAGAAATCATTAGTAGGGCATTGATATTGATGATCATGTTAAATTTAGTAGTGGCACATGTAATTCAGCAGTGGCGATCTGAAAACAGATCGGAGCACCGCAAGGATGAGAAAGCCGTGTTATTTTTTGTCATCTGCTACCATGAGTATTTCTTTGTACTTTGCCCATGTCAAAGATTACATGGCCTACTTGTAGGAACTAGAGGGAACCATGCCAGCCATGCAAGCATGCTGGCTTTCTGACATTCAACAGGAGCTCCACATACACGGACTCAGAAATGCACATATACTCTGTGGTGTTTTTCACCGCCACCTCCTGGCCCCCATTCTGCCACCGTTACTTCGCCCAAGAGGGGTCAGAGGTAGGGCTGTATGCTTAATTAATTTTAAATCATGATAAGATTATGACGATGTTAAGAAAATTAAAATTGTCAAATCAGTTTTCCTTTCTATCATGTCTCATGCCTCCAGGCCACTGTAGGCTCCCCCTTCCTGCGTAAGTGCTCCCCAGTTCCCACACACACCAGTGTAAACAAACATGGCGTTTGCAAAAGAAGGTGGTAATTTTGTGGCTAAATGCAGACCTGCCAACTTTAAAAATTTTTTGAGTACCCCTGAACCCAGGGGTGATCCCCACTTTCAACCCACCATTGAAATAATTACAACATAACATTGCATTTTTTTCATTGAATTTTGGATGCGCTGCTTTGAAATGGTGCTCCAAGTTGCTTCCCTTCCTTTGGAAGGGTCTGTTTGCATATTAAGCACGGAACAAAGGGTTCATGGTATGGAAAACAAATAAGAACTGGTCTGTCCACTTGTCTTGAAATTTTCTGTGCTCATCTTCTATGCTTCGTGGGTAACGTTACACCTGCCGTTTGAATGCTCGCCCCCTCTTCGGTGTCTTCATGCTGATTTTGTTTGCTGCTCAGACCCATTTTCCCCTCATCCACTCCACTATTTATTACAACACTGTGTGTCCATCTACCTGGTTTTTGAGCTTGTTTCTGTCCCTTTGTTATTAAAAACGCTCCATTTTTTGTTTCATGCTGGCTAGCGGAGCTAATGTAACCTGCCTGCAAACATGCACTTCGGTCAAGTGTTGTAAACAATGCCATGTGGCACATGGGCTGTGTTGCCAGGTTATGGAGCCAGATCAGGCTCAAAAGTGAAAAAATAAAAAGTGAAGTGAAAAAATAAGATTTGAACCTGAAAAAAATAAAATGGTACCTGAAAGTCTTGAATTTCGAAATTGAACCCCCCCCCCACCACACACACACACACACACACACACACACAAACACACACACATGGACACAGCAGCACCCCTGCTGAAAAAAATTCTAGGGAAACACTGAAGTTACATTATGTTCTACAGAGAAACCATGTCATGAGTTCAAATCCAGCCTGGTACTCATGTCATCATCCGGACAAAGAAAGAAAAACAAAACTGCCTCTCAGTAAAAACAAGCAGCAGCTGTTCAAGCGAAGCCTGCTCTTCACTGTAATCTACGTTTTACTCATCTCTGGAGGTCTGAAAGGATCCTCACTGAAGATTTAGCTAGAGAGACATGCCACCACAGTGTCCTGTTGGAGCAGCTCTGAATGCTCTCTAATGATGCAGGGAGCGGGGGTCTGAACAGAGCATCTATCACTGTCAGGTCTGATTGTGTAGGCTGTGGTGAGATGCGGAGCCATTACATAATGCCTATGTTGTGTTTGTTATGTCACAAAGTTTGGCATCGAAGCTGCCTCCCTGCAACACTACTGAGAAAATACTGTATCTCCAAAGAACTTTTCAGTTCAGTCAGTGTTATTCAAAGCAGGGAGGAGAGGAACCTTAAACCACCTCATGGAGCTGAACTTGTCCTGCAGGTTTGTAAACACAGAGCAGGTAGTAAGAATAGTAAGAATGACAGACTTCAGCTCCACAAGGGAAAACAGTCCACAGGTGTGTGAGGTAAGGGTAGTTCTGAGGATGAGAGAGTCTGTGTTATGGGTACATTAGATGAGTGATATTTGTCATTAGAAACATTTGGCTGGAATCCTAAATGAAACAGCAGCAACACAAGAAAACAGTTGTTAAGTGTGCTGACAGCTCCCATGGTAAAAATTTACCAGAGTGTGGTGATGGATATTTCAGTAGGATGTTTCTGGTGTATTAATATGACTCATGAAGAGTGAGTGAGTCAGTGAGTGAGTGTCTGTAGGTGTGTGTTTAATAAGCTGCACAGGCTTCACTTTAGCTGTTTTGCCTGTCGTTGCCTGATTTGGGATGGAAATTGACAGGAGTTTGATACTGATACAATGATCAATTCTGCTGATCAATCTAGTTCTCACTTGATCCCTAATCAATAGAGAGACATTGATTGTCAAAATCAGAGCCACTACTGCTATCGATGTTTAAAACAGTTTAGCCAATGCTGTTAGTGGATACCAATGTTTATTCTAGATTGCTTCTTTGTAATTGTTTTTGGGTCTTGTGTTATGGCCCAGCTCATTAATGGAAAAGCAAAATTACATAAAACCTTTTTTTGTGAGTGTGTCAAATAAAAGTTACTTATCACAAAAGATGTGAAAACTGCACCCAAACCTTAAGGTGAGGCAACTAGACAGGGTCATTGTGTTTTCAGTGTGGAAAAAAGATCAGCCTACACTTTTTTTTGTGACAACAACACAATTTTTTAGGAGCTCATTCACACTCATTCTCTATGTTAAGAGTCTGACAGTGTTGAAAATCAGGTTCAACTACCAGACATATTCTTCATTTGTTGATCACCATATTTCTTTAGGCACCAGTATTTAATGGGGTGCTGGGCACACATGAAATCTCTGATTACACTGCTGGATCTCTGCAACATACAAGCTCATTGTCTCATACAGTTAATTCCAGAGATTGTCATAGTTTTTTGTTTGCTGAGTGAAATACTCTCTTACATTTATCAGCATGGATGAACCAAACATGGGCCTGTATGAGCCACAGGCACAGAGTGTACTCTCCACTGTAAAAAACTACAGTGGAAACCACATTTCTGCATACTATAATGACCCACATCTGTCTTTAACTTTCAGTCATCTTGGTTTATTTCACTATCCTTTACTCTAAAAGGGTTCGCCTTCATGTGGTTTAGGACCTTATCATTTGGAGATCTGCAGTGGTTTAACTCAGGACATATAGAAGTCAGTGGCAGTGCTGTATGTTTTCACTGGCACATTCCTGCAGCCCTATTACTGGCACAAAAGGCGTCTAATTAGAGTCTGCCTCAGGACTGGAGTTGTTTCCATACCAGCGCCAGTATCAGATATAAAGTCCTACTTGTGGTAGCTGATTATAGAAGACACAAAACAAGAAAACATCCCTTATAAGTCCTTAAGGAGTTGGTCACTTAGTCAATCTTAGTGATTCCAGGGTACAAAGAGGAACACGTTATCCCTTCAATGATTCTGTGTTCCCATTTCAAAGGTCTCCGTTTTACAACAAATCTCAATGTGGTGGAAAATGAGCAGGCTGTCAAATCTGTGCACTACAATCACCAACACTGACACACACAGTTCAAGTTTTAGGTATCACGTAAAACACCAAGGACAGCAAATATAGATGAACATGCTTCACAATTTTGTTTAACACACTTCATGTCATGTCCCAATGTGGAACAGTGATATCCCACACCACATTATCTAAAAATCAGGTTTAGGAGTGGGCCAAATATTCAACGTGACCATTGTGACACCTGTACAATCAGTGACACAACATATCCATAACAATGTTAATACAGAAGGGCTCTCTAAACACATTTGAACACCAGCTTTGTTTACATGAACCACTAATAATACAATTAATTACCAAGTCAGAAGAAAGTGATTCATGCCAAAACCTCAGAGAGGTCCAATTCAGCCTATTCAAAAAGACACTTCAGGCTGTTTTTTCATGCCTTGTTGGCTGCGTGGCACAGGCGTGGCGTAAGTCAGGTCTGCCGCACAAGGGGTGCCCAAGCACATTTTGGTATTTCAGTATTTTGGTGAGCGGCACAGCCCGGCGTAAGCATCCCCCCTCCCTAACTCAGTTCCTCCCAGCGACATAAGTCGTAGAGAGGGAGGGGATAAGGCGTGGAGTGGGTTTAACACAGCCGAGACCTCCTCACCTTTAAATCCGCCACCTGCGAGACGTATTACATTTTTCGTGCAGTAGTCGAAGAGATCAAGAAATGGCTGAAGACAGCAATGCCACACGATGGCAACAGAAGGCAGCCCCTTAACAAGTGTCACTGTAAGCACTGCGGAGGATGTCCTCAACACTCTCTCAAACATTAACAGAGGGATTTGGTATGTGTAAGGTTGTACTAGGGATGTAACGACTACCAGTAAAATGATAAACCGGTGCAAAATGTCTGATGGTTAGTACTACCGTTTCCAATTTTAATTACTGTTAAATCCGTGTTTCATTGCCGCACTCTGGAAAAGCTCAGAGACTGCTCAGTGCTGAGAAGAGCAGCCGCACACAGCAGTCCTTCAGACACAGGCATGCCGCATGCATGCGCATAGCGCAGTATACAACTTGTAAACATGGCGGAGGGCAGTTTTGCAGGCGTATTTCGGCTTCTACAAAAGGTTGCAAGGGTTGCCAGGAAGCTTTTGTGCATCCCAGCAACCAGTGTGCCATCCAAGAGGATATTCAGTGCCAGCGGACACATCGTTTCCCCTCGCAGATCACTATTCTCAAACCAGGAAAGTAAATATGCTGACATTTTTACATTTCAATCTCAAGTAGTGAACAAAGTCAGCAGTAGCACCTTATGGTGGAGAAAATGGACAATCGGTGTGGTTCCTTTGATTTATTTACATATTTTATGATATATCAAACATGTGCACTACACATTTGTTTACATGTGATTGTATTGTTTCATATGGTAGTGTTGCTTTGCTTTACATTTGCAAGAATAGATCTTTTTGAGCACTGAAGATTCTTAAAATTTGCACAATAAGGAATGTCATTTTATTTAAATTTTATTTATTTGTCATTATGTTAATGTTTATGCCACTGGCACATTACTTTGTACTTTGTTATTACTTTTACTAGTGTTGATTACCTCTGGCTCTTTTCAGGCCCATCTTTTATTTTTTAAGCTTGTCGTTCCTCTGTTATTTAAAGTTAAGGAAAGGTTCATTCTGCGTGTTATTTTGATTGTTTTTTTCAAAATAAATCTTTGTTAAATGATTTCAGGGCATGTATAAGTCCTTTCTAAACATTTTGAACATATTTCAACAATACCGTGATAATATCGATAACCGTGATAATTTTGGTCACAATAACCGTGATGTTAAATTTTCATATCGTGACATCCCTAGGTTGTACCCACCGGTAAGACAAACACCCTTTTCCACAAATAAAGACACTCACATAAAATTGCATATATTTCAACCCCATGTGACAAAGGTGGGTTGTGCGCACAGATCAAAACATAAACTCCAATAATGGCATTAAAATCAGAACCACCTGTGCGTAAAGAATGCATCACGCTCCGTGGCCTGGCTCTTTCTTTCATAGATGTTGGCATATAAAATGAACTTGGCTCACACAGCTGAATATTATAATATTCATATGGAAGCCTAACTCTGGATTGAATATTCACAGAATTTTAAGGATGTGAGAACAACAGATAAACAGGTAATTTTACATGAAAGTTTCTTTTATTGTTTTGTTCAAATTTTCGAAGCGAATAATTCACCTGATCACTAAAATTAATCAGCAGCAGCACTACGGGGAGAGGACATGGAGACATGTCCGGTCGAACTGTGCGAGGAAGAAGGAGAATAAGGGGGGAGACAAATTAAATATCTTGTTAACTTCATCATGTGTGACTGTTAACTGTATATTTAATTTCATGCAGTTTCAGATGAGTTAATTCAATCAGGTTGAGGGTCCAAACACGTGCCAAACGCACTCATCAGATAAGATATAGATCCAAATATATTAATAAAGATCTAAATGTATGTGCTGACTTAGATAGTTGCACTGAGTATTGGTTGTTGATTTTTTATTGCACTGAAATATGCCTGACACTGCGGAAACCTGCCGGTGAGGCATCGGTGACATATGCACACTATGCCGCCGGTCTACCAAAATACCACTGCCTGCGCTGAAAGCTGACCAGGTTGGCAAACCTTGGTGCACCTCAGTCTATGAAAATAACAAAGTGGCTGTGCGCTAGGCTCCGCCAGACGAAAATACCACTGTGCGAGGTGCGCCACCCTCCACCACGTCACCGGCGGGCACGAAAATAGAGCACTTCATCTGATTCAGAGGAATGGATTATTCTATATGATATTTTCTCTGAATTTTTATTCATAGCTGAGGTAAAACCATCCTTACTGTGCATGACTGCTCAGTGGCATGACAGTTATCCATTTTAGTTACTGCAGGACACTGTTGGAACATGGTGAAAGCAAAGAAAGTATGATCTGCTGCTGAAAACTATTCAAAGACCTGACAGAATTCAGGGTTGTTGAAAGACTCAATGAGTGAAAAAAAACTTTTGTAGTATACAGTGACACAGCAGTGACGAGTGAACAGTTTCTCTCTCAGTTATTATTTTATTATGACTAAATGATTGCTGTTTGTTGGTGCACAGGATCACTGTATTTAGTGTCCATGAAACTCTAATAAGAGGAGAGTCTGCATATGTAAACATAGCTAATGTGTCACTATTCCTTGCAGTGCTGTTTATGACATCAATCCTACTATTGACTTTTGGTGGGTCTTTTTTAATTTCCAGATAAGCTGATAATTTAACATATTATAATATGATTGCCTCACATTACTGCTGAATCACCCTCATGACATTATAGTTATTGGGGGCTATGTGTAAGGTAAGGATTGACCTTTTTTTTGGTCTTGGTCAATATTCTTTATTTGGTTGAAAAAGTGTATCAGTATTTTGTTTGGTTACAGTTCCAGTGAGGAACTTTTGGTTTGTGTTGACCTATTTCAGGCATAAAAAATAGAATAGAATAGAATAGAATAGTCCTTTATTGTCATTGTAACCAGTACAACGAAATTAAAAAAGTGCCAGACAGTCAGTGCATCATTAAAACAAATACAGTAATAAATAGCAGTTCTAAATAAATAAATAAGTTCCGAATAAATAAAGTAAATGAGTAAATAGGTATTCAGTCACTTCCTTAAGGCATTGAGGGTAGTTATTGCTGACGGAAAAAAACTGTTTTTAAGTCTGTTCGTTCTGGATCTGATTGTCCTATAGCGTCTGCCTGACGGCAAAAGTTCAAACAGGAGGTGACCAGGATGGGAGGTGTCTTTGATAATGTTCTGGGCTTTTTTAGCACAGCGAGCGCCATGAAGGTCGTCCAGTGAGGGAAGGGGGCAACCGACAATCCTCTGGGCTGTGTTGACGACCTGCTGGAGAGCCTTTCTCTGGGCCACAGTGCAGCTGTTAAACCATACACAAATGCAATATGAAAGAATGGCTTCGATGGAACACCTGTAAAAGGACACCAACAGTCTCTGTGTGATGTTATTTTTCCTGAGGACCCTCAGGAAGTGGAGACGCTGTTGGGCTTTTTAATCACCTGTGTGGTGTTTACAGTCCAGGTCAGGCCCTCCTCAATCTGAACACCCAGAAACCGGAAGTCTGACACCTGCTCCACACAATCCCCGCCGATGATGAGTGGTGTGATGTCAGTCTTTATCCTCCTGTAGTCAATCACCAGCTCCTTCGTTTTTGCTGTGTTGAGCTGGAGGTTATTCTCCCCACACCATGCTGCCAGATGTTCAACCTCGTTCCTGTACGCAGACTCGTCTGCCCCAGAGATGAGCCCCACCACCGTGGTGTCGTCTGCAAATTTGACAAAGGTGTTGTTGTGATGTGTGGGGACGCAGTCGTGTGTGTAAAGGGTGAACAACAGGGGACTCAGCACACAGCCCTGTGGCGAACCGGTGCTGAGGCTGAGGGCCGTTGATGTGTGATGGCCCACTCTCACCCTCTGCGTGCGAAAGGTGAGGAAGCTGTTGATCCATATGCAGGTGGGGTGAGAAATGCCTAGATTGACCAGTTTGTTCAGCAGTTTGTGAGGAAGTATGGTGTTAAAAGCAGAGCTATAGTCCACAAAGAGCATCCGTACGTAGCTCCCCTGCTGCTCCAGGTGGGACAGTGCAGCATGGAGGGCTGAGGCAATGGCGTCTTCTGTGGATCTATTTGCCCTGTATGCAAACTGGTGAGGGTCAAGGCTTTTTGGCAGGTGTGATGTGATGTGACCCCGGACCAGCTTTTCAAAGCATTTCATCACCACCGGGGTGAGAGCGACTGGCCGGTAGTCGTTGAGGCTGGAGATATGAGGTTTCTTGGGCAGGGGGACGATGATGGAGGACTTCAGGCATGGTGGAACACTGGACTCGGCCAAGGACTGGTTGAAAATCCTTGTGAAGACTCCGGCGAGCTGTTCCGCACAGTCCCTTAACACACGCCCGGGCACTCCATCAGGCCCAGCAGCCTTCCTTGGGTCCACGGCGCGCAGGGTACGTCTCACCTCATGTTCTGTGAGGGTGAAGTTGCTGTGTACCATGGGGTGTGGTGTGGCTGCCTTGGGTGGTTCCACCTCGAAACATGCAAAGAAGGTGTTTAGCTCCTCTGCCAGCGAGGCCTCACCCTCAGCTGCTCCCAAGGTGGATTTGTAATTGGTGAGCTGCTGGACTCCCTGCCACACCTGCCTGCTGTTGTTACTTTCCAGGTGTGCCTCAATCCTCCTCCGGTAGTCCGACTTGGCCCCTTTGACGCCTCTCTTCAGGTCAGCCCGGGCCGCAGAGTAGAGGACCTGGTCACCAGACCTGAAGGCGGTATTCCTCTCCCTCAGCAGCTGCTGGACTTCCCGGGTCATCCAGGGCTTCTGGTTGGGGTAGATCCGGATCTCTTTTTCCACAGTAACAGTGGCTATGCAGTGTTGTATGTATCCAAGTACACTGCCTGTAAAGATCTCCAGATCGTGATGTAAAAACACCTCCCAGTTCGTCCTGTCGAGGCAGTCCTGCAGCTGTTGAGAGGCTCCATCAGGCCAAGTTGTTACCGTTTTTGTGATGGTGGGTGTACTTTTCCTGAGGGGGCATATGCGGGTATTAGCAGCAGAGACAAGTGGTCGGACTGGCCCAGGTGAGGTAGTGGTTTGGCCCTGTAGCCAAGCTTGATGTTAGAGTAGACCTTGTCAAGAGTCTTATCTCCACGGGTTGTGCATTTGACATGTTGGTAGAATTTAGGGAGAACTGTTTTCAAATCGGCATGGTTGAAGTCCCCTGCTACGATGTGTACAGCGTCAGGATATTTACTCTCCTGGGAGCCAATGCTACTATGCAGATGGTTGCTAGCCACCTTAGCATTAGCGTCCGGCGGTATGTAAACAGCTGTTAGTATTACAACAGAGAACTCTCTCGGGAGGTAAAAGGGTCTGCATTTCACAGACACATACTCCAGGTCCGGGGAGCAGTGGCTGTCCACAGTCACTGTGTTCGTACACCAGCTGTTGTTCACGTACATACACAGCCCCCCTCCTCTGGTCTTACCGGAGCTCTGTGTTCTATCCTGACGCTGCATGGTGTAGCCTGTTAGCTCCGCCGCCGAGTCCGGGATAAGTGGATGAAGCCAGGTCTCCGTGAAGAGTAGAATGCAGCTATCCTTCACGGCATTGTTGGTTGCAACCTGTAGCCTCAGTTCATCCATTTTATTGGCGAGGGACCGAGCATTGGCGAGAAACAGGCTGGGAAGCGGAGGTTTAAGTGGCTGCCTCCGTAGCCTGGCTAGCGGGCCAGCTCTGCAGCCCCGCTTCTGCCTCCTCTCTCTGCGCCGCCTTCGCCGCTTCCCGGCGGGGATAGTAATCCACAGGGAGCCGGGGTGCCGTGCTATGTCGACCGGTATGTTGTGTGCGTGGAGAAACTTTGCAGCTATACTCAGAAACTTTGCAGCTATACTATACAAACTGAGTTTGAACCCTGATGGTAGGACTGGGCGATTATATGATCGTGATCGATGATCGCGATAAATTTACTCGATCAAACATGGCGGAAACGTGTGTCACAACAGCCAATCAGAGCTGAGCTTTTCCTGCTCACTTCTGTAAGTTACCGGAGAAGTAAACAGGGAAAGTAAACGAAGTGACCGAACATGGAGCTAAACGCGGAGCTGAGGGCATTTCTCCCAGGAATTTCTCGTAGCATGGTCCGCATTCATTCATGAATCGGGTCACTATATTTGTCCAAAGTTTCCAGGTTTCCAGACAAACGGAGATCGTCCTGTGTTTCTGCTGAGCCACACAGACTGGATTGATACTTTTACTTTACAGTTTTGGATGATTCAGTTCGGTTTCAGCTGTAAACTATATTTAAGCAGTGTTTGTTGGAAAATGAAAACTTCAGTGAAAGGAAAAAACAAACTCGAGATATGCAAGAGTGATGCGTTCAGGGCAGCCTCGGATAAAACAGTGCTGTATGTCATGCACAGATGTTCAGAAAGCCTCATACAGGAGAGCATTTAAAACATATGAGGACTTTAACACTAATATTAGTGGACTAAATAAGTTCAAGGCATATCGTAGACCTTTTATCTTTTTTTTTTTTTACCATTTGTTATTGTTAAAACAAAACAAAAGTGTGCAGCTTCACTTATACTTATTTGGATGAGCAATTTAATTACAAATACTCTCATAATTAGCTCATATCCACCATACAAGGTCACCCCAAAACTGCCCGGCGTGCGCCACAAACAACTCCTGGATTTTATAACCCAAATGTTGGCAGGTATGCGTATCATCTACGTTTACATCACCTAATGTTTACATTTTAAAGCACCTTCATAATCTCTGAGGGGGCGATTTGTTTATTTTGAGTCTTGCATACCTGCAAAAACACTCAGGACTGTAAACTAATTCTCTGTTATTTATCTACATTTGTTGTACTGTTGAGTTAAAATGTTTTTTAGATTTTTCTAAGTGTATCTTATTCAATCTGCTTTGTTATTTACTTCGTATGTTAATAAAATGTTGAACTAATCTCTAGTTTTTTTAGTTTTTAGTACAGATGCTTTAAAACTGGCAGTTTTTAAAAAAAAATCATGATAATAATCGAGATTGGACGATATGACAAAATAAATCGTGATCATTTTTTTTGCCAAATCGCCCAGGCCTACCTGATGGTGTTGTTTGCTTTTGAATATCTTATAAAGACATGAATATGAATTTCAGTCCATTTCATACACTTCCTCATAGTAGATTCAACCACAGTAAGATTATTTAATCAAAAAAGAAAAACTACTTTGCTGCATGTGAGTCTTTCTCTCTTGGTCTCTTTTCACTCTTTACTCACAATGTCCCACACACACAACACTATTGGTTTGGCTGGACATCACACAAATGTGACATAAATGTTTGCGCTCTAAGTGTTGACATGATGTTTAAAGGCACACTTTTGATTAAACATGATAAAATATATCTATACAAAGTTCTGTGCTGAAATTTTAGATATCCCAAACTTTGAGTTTTGACTTAAAATATTATTTTTACAGTAAGAGCTTGTCAGTACCAAATATCCACATGAACTACAGATTATCAGTGAGTTAAAGGAGGAGGCTGCACCTCACCAGTGACAGTGGCTTGCTTGAAGATTGAGTAGAGTTAAAAACATATTAAACTGCATGTGCTGCCTTTTAAAAGATTTTTTAAACACTAATAATCAGTATGGCCCTGAAAAAACAATCGACCCAAAGTATCAGCTATTACAACAAGGGTTAAGCTGGGATTCCCTCCTGAATAGACAGGTTTACTTAAGTCAACACTGACACAGATTTTGAGCATCCAAGTTTAATCAACTATTGAAGCCAGAGGCAAATCCAGAGTGCAAGAAATGATAATTATGTAAACAGGAGAACATCCTGTCCTGCACAAGAATAACTTCATGGCTCCATGCCTCCAGTAATACTAAGAGCCTTAATTTGAGTCCAGCAGCAGGTTATCAGCCGGCTCTGGGGGAACCCCTCTGCATTACTGTCACATTATAACAGCACACAGTGCACAACCTGTTGCTTGTTTACTGTTGCAGAAGAGCTGGTCTCTACGCCTTTATACAGTTGCAGTCTGCTCACTACATCATCATTGTACAGGAAACTGAGCCATAACGCAGCTTCCTCTATTATACAGTTCTCTGTGGCTGCTTTTATCACATGTAAATCCCCTCTTCGTGCAGCACGAGTGACTCTTTAGTCATACGATGAGAGCATGTAAAAACATGAATGTCTTTATTAGTCAGTGCAAGTCGACATATAAAACCTCAAACCTCGACTGTGCTGTAATCTGAATGCTCAGTTATCTTTCAGTACCACATGGGGGCTGTGCTTTGTCTGCATGCCTTTCAAGTTCAACATGAGAACATCAAGCCACGTAGGCATGTCCATATTCAGATCATCAGTCCAGACTGATGCAACAGTTTCCACACAAAACCAGCACTCCGGACTGGATCCAGACATCCGAGCTGGACCAGCCGTGCGTATGAGCCACTCTACCTCTGTGCGTATTTTGGCGGTTTTAAGGCAAAGTCAGTCGGTTAAACCAGTTTTACTAAATTACCCTCACTACTACAGGTTCCGTACAGTAGACCAGGACCAGAACAAAACCGGGTCCCTGCTAATTCTGAATCCTATTGTGAGGCATTATTGTATCACTTTAACACTGAAACACAAGCAGTAGTACTCATGTTACAATTCTTTAGTCCGCCAGCCGGCTAACTTCTCCTTTTAGCTGCAATCACCGTATCGACCCATGCTTCATTCACGCAGCGTGGAGGACCATTAAAGCTGTCACTCACCAATGATAATGGCACAAGCGCTCAAAAGTCCTATTTCCTTTTTCAGGGTGACTCTGTCGCTCTTCGGAGAGTTTTGATCCTTCTTCGTCCCCTCTGTGTCCTCCATCGCCTCCGTCTCGTCGATGTGCTTCCTGCCCGCCTCGGTCCGGTCCAGATACTGTACTCTGAACCACACTCCGCGCTCTCAGCAGCCCTTATAATATCCGACTGATGAGAGGAGGACGGCGCATGCGCATGAGTCACAACAATGCCACCACCTTGTGTCAGGTAGCATGTTGTGAGGCAGGTGTGGTCCAACGTGTCATGTAAACATGGAGGAGCATTTATTTACTTAGCTGCAGTTGTACAATCACCGTCTGTGTTTTATTTTTTATTTTTTTCAATTGCTGTATCTACCGGATGTCAAAACATGGAAGCAAAATAAGGAATTAAACAGCAAATTCAAAAATAATAAAATAATTATTTTTACTGCTACCTCTTAAAAATAAATTGGAATTTAAATAATAAATGAACTAACAAAAAATTGACGATCTGTATTCTTAAAATGATGAGGAATTAGCATATTTTGTCTGTTTAATGAATGTTAAAAACTTCTAATCCTATGTTTCTGTGTTTCTGAAAATGCATAAACTCCTCAACTTTGCCCCAGATACAGTAGTACAAAAAAATGACCAGTTTAACCCTTGAAAATATCTGCTGTGTCTGGCCTGACAGGTTTCAGGTGAGTCTGTTTTTCGTCCGTGTGGCTGTAATTTGATCCTCTACTCATGATTGTTAAGTGGGGGAGGGTCACCTGAGTGCTGTTGGCCCTCCAGGGACACCCCCTTTGATTATACCCTTTGACTATATATATATATATATATATATATATATATATATATATATATATATATATATATAATTGAATATACAATTAATATAATTTAAGTAAATAAGTAAATGAGACAGGCACTGGATGGCTTGTTAACAAATGCCCTGCTGTATACCCTGTATGCAAGATAAACATAAATATATGTAAAACATACATAAATACATACATGTCAGATGTAGAAAAAAAAAACACACAAATTGGTTTTTGGATCAAAACAGAAATGGATATTGTAATTCAAAAAATAAATAATATAATAAATAAATATAATAAAGCCACTGTATTTAGTGAGCTGTGCATTTATAGCCTGTAGCAGCCCGAGTCTAGTTAATGCTACATATCTGCTGCAGTACCAAAGAGCTTAACAAGGGGGTTTTACCTTTCTGATTTGGTTAATTATAAAGACCAGCTGTTACACTCAGAGACTCCACATTACCACGGTTATATCTACGCTCTGCAATTTAATGTAGCCCTGTGGAGACCTACTGTATATTACAATAACACTGTATTGAAGGAGTGTGGAGCAGCCGGCAGCTGCAAAACAAGCTGAAACGTAGTTCAATCAGACAATTTCACTTCGTAAAACTGTGTCCACTATACGTGTAGGCTCAGATCTGATTTTGACCAACTAAATTCAAGTTTTTGACACAGCAGGGCAATAAGAATTCAAGTTATATCTAGTTTAATGTAATACTTTGATTTCTGGTATAACACCATTTAGTTTTCTTACTGTTGTTTTTTAATGTAAACAAACCACTAAGTTGTCCAGTGAATGCAGAGGAACGGGAGCATTTCTTATTATTTCTTTGACATTTTCTGTTTTTGACTGCCTCACAATGTCCTACCCCCATTATCGTTACCCTTGCATTTCCAACATGCTAAGTCACCTGCTTACGTCTTCTAAGCCATTTACTTCCTTCTCCTGCCTATGCCATATTTTACAAAAACAGCACTCCTGTAAGGAACTTTCTGTGTGTGTGGACTTCAGCACTCCCTCTGGACTAGGTGGTAACCCTTACATTGTTGCTTGTTTCTTTGAGAAAGTGGTATAGATTTACAAAAAACTCCTCCTGTATGTTGTTTTGTTTAAACTCATGACTATTTTTTTTAAAACTGTATTGAATATTAAATCAAATATGCAAACATTTTTTTACATTTGATTGGGGGCTGGACCGTGATGTCCTTCACATCACTTAAGTAGAAGCCAGACCCACAGAAAGTTCTTAATTTGGCATGGCACATTTCCACCAGCGCCCTTGGTGATTTAACTTTGGACCAGCCCTCGCACACTTACAAGGAACTCTCTTCAGAGCCATTGATTCCATGTGTGGAGGCTGGGATTGAATCCACCAGATGCTTTCTGGGTTTCCCTACTTCTCCAACAACACACCTGCTCCCCGTCATAATCAGCCAGTTAGTTACTTGGCCACCCTTTCCCTACCTGCTCACCTGTCTCAATTTCACAGCCTCAGTCAACATTTTCTTGACCATTTTCTTTATCTAGTGGCCAGTACTTTTAAAGCACTTTGTTTCCGTCATGCTTTGTGGTTTTTGATACTTCAGAGTTTCTTTGTAGTGACATTTCCTGCCTGCAATCTTCCGGCTTGTTTCCTGTTACTAATTTGCCTGCCTGCATACCTGCCAAAACCTGCCTGTAAACTCTCACTCTGAGACATAGTACTGCGTCACTCCTCTTGCTGAAGTGCACGAACAGGTCTTCCTTTCCTGCTTGTAACACATCTGTAATTTAAACCTGACCCATTTTTTTTTATTTTGACTCAACCAGTTCAATGGGCTGAATGAAAATCCGTCTGAGCTGGAGGGTGGCTGGCATGAGTCTAGCTCTGGTATTGATCTAGCTTGTGTCTATAAAAAAAACAACTTTGCTTACAAACCTTGCAGGTCAACAAAACAAAAAAAGTATCTTTTAATTTAAATTTTACTGGAAAGACATCTGGAGGGCACCTTTTAAGTTTTAATTCAACAAAAAGGAATCCACTTTACAATGTAATTTATGCTGGAATTGCATACAGAAGGTACTTTTTTGCACTGGAAAGACATTCAGCAGACAATTTCTTTTACATTTTACCCGCCAGGAGGTCATTCTGGGGGTACTTTATTTACAATTCATCCACTTGAATAGCGGCCAGCAGGCATGTCATGTATCATCTTCTGAAAAAGGCAGCAACCAAAGCAATTTGCCATGCATTTGCCATGAAAGGGGCACCAGAGAGGACATCTAATAACACCTTTTAAACTAAAAGGGGATCCAGGAAAGCTCCTCCTCTGCAGTGTTTTTCAGACTTAAGGGCACCAGGAGAGGCAATAGCTCCCTTTGCCCCAACATCTTTTGTTAGCTGTTCGGACTGAGCATACCTGTTACAACATTGTACCCAGAAGAACTATACTGGATACAAAGTGGACCAGGCGTGCAATGACAGTCTTTTTTTCATTTTCATGGTGAAACCAGAGGCCTGTACTACAAAGCTGGATTTGGTCTTAGCGAGATAACTTCTGGATAACTTCTGGGTTTTCCATACTACGAAGGTGGGTCTCTTTTTATCCAGGTCCGTTGCCCCAGTAACTTACGCGGAACGCCAAACCTGCTCCGGAGCAGGTTATGTTTCAGGATAAGATCTCAGCAGGTATAAAAGACCGCCCACTGACCAATCGGATCTCTTGGAAAATGGCTTGCCCACTTTTGCCGGATACCGGGGACATCGTTGCATGGATAGTGAGAGGAGCGCTTCGCTGCGAATGTTATGTTCATGATTGTTCAAATCTGTTTGATTTACCTGATGAAGTTCCAGCACCAGCAGTCCCTTCGGCTTTTAGCGGCTGTGGCTCTCCTGCTCCTCACTGTTATAATGTTGCGGTACTCCTCGTATTTGCGTAAAATAATGCTCTGTTCTTTGGCTGTGAAAAATAACGTGCAGCCTTCTCCATTGTGGAGATTGGTCCGTTGGCACTGACCCCACCCCCTTTACGTGTGCGCGCACAGATCTGAAGTGGCCACACCTGGATTCAGTTATCGAGTTGATAATCGGCTTCGTAGTACAGCTGATTGGGATTATGGGGATCCGGTGAAGTTGAGTGAGTTGTCGCAGAGTTACCCTGGATGTATTAATCCAGCTTCGGGGCCTCTGGTCTAAACATAACACAATAAACAGCACACTGGAATAGTCTGCAAAAAACTGAAACTTTTGAAAGAGTTCTGAATGTCACTATAACTGACTTTTGCTTTTGAAAGGCAGTTTGGTCACCTCACTATTTGGTCAGTTTAAGCTGTTTTTGAATAAGTCAATGATGACTTTAGATTACACAAGGGACACAAACAAACAGCAGACAACTGTGCACACAGTAGTACAACCTCATTGCAGAGGAAGTAAGCAGAACACTTTTTAGACAGAAAGGAATCAGACAATTGGATAGAATATGTGAAAAATATACATGGAAAATAATGTTTGCTGTAAGAGCTGTGCAACTTTTATTCTACAGAGACAACCGGTGACAGTAACAGAAAGAGCAGTAATGATGGCAGGAGGAAGCTGCAAAGTCACATTAAAGCCCAGTCATAAATAACTGAGTGAAGATCTCTGTTTGTTGCTTCTGTCTCAAAGTCCTGGACTGAAAATAAAGGAAAATACAATAAAACCGAGTTATTCTATTCCTTCTCCATTTACCAGTGACCGCACAAAAAATGGATGATAAAAATCCTGAGGGTGCCACACCAAAAAAAAAGAAAAAAGACATTTAAAAACCCACAATTCTGTGAGACTACAGCAAATCTCTTCATACTCATTTTGTACATGAGTATGAGTAGGAGAACTCTGCTGTCTTCTTGCAGTCTGATAAGAGTTTTGAATGCTTTGGCCCCAGCAGTGGCAACATGAAACAGACATTAAAACCAAATCATATTTATCCATGAGTATTTCCTGCCACCACAAGTTAAAATCTCTGCCACTAAATAAAAAACACAGCATGGTCTCATCTCATAACGCTCCCACAAAGGCAGTTAGCTTCATATCTGTACTGTTGTACCTTCCCATGCTGTAACTGAGCATTGAGTGGGTATGTGCTGCTCCCCACTTACTTTTCTTCCAGCACTGCTTAAAGGATCATATACCATTTTTTTCAGTTTTCTGTCCATCAAGTCATCATCATTATGGTTTTGAAGAGGAACCATCGTTATTGCAAGTGTCTTTTTGTCTTTTTGTGTTGACAGCTGCGTTTTCATG